TTTCACTATGTTGGCCAAGCTGGTCTCGATCTGACCTCAGGTGATCCACCCACGTTGGCCTCCCAAAATGCAGGGATTACAGGCGTGAGCCACCGTGCCCGGTCTGGGTACATCTTTAGGAAACAATAAGTTCTGTAGAAGAAAGACAGTGAAAGAACCCAGGCAAAAGAAAATTGCTCATCTGAGGTGGTCAGTATTATTATCTCAATTTTACATTGGAAAACAAATGCACTAAGAAACCAGTAACTTACTGAAGATCATAAAGTTATCTACTGGTAGAGCTACCATTTAACTGCATGTAATCTCACACCAGTGTGTCAGATATATTCAGTGTGTGAATATATAGGGCCTATAATACCTAGCCCTATCCACACAGAAACTTTTGCTGACTGGGATTTAGAGATGAGAATTATAGCCTTAAAATACAAAATACTAATTTCATCATTCATGGTATAAAACTTGAGGAGAAAATACTTTTACATATGTATTTTACAAAATAAGTTTTTCCTCTAGTTCATGAGCCATCAATTATTAATTTATACACTTAAAAGTAAATATGATATTCCCCTTGAGAATAGTATAGTTTAGTTACATTCTTCCTCAAGCAAATTCCTAAGTGTCTTTATACTTTGAATATGACCTTTCTAATATACATTTGATAACCGGCCATGTAAAAACTATGTAATTAGCACACCTTGTTGGCTTCACTAGGTTCCAAATTCAACCATCTCCTAAAACTACCACCAGTCCCCTCTGGTCGCAGTCACCATCGTCACTATTCCAGAGGACTGAAATTGCCTCATTGTAAGATACAGACTGCTGGACAAAGAACAAATTGGAACAGGAAGAGTTCAACTGAGGACAGGTTTAGCATGCCACAACCTTGACTAGACAGATCCAAATGTCGATTTGGCATTTGGAGAAAACTTCTGGAAGGGATTAATTCACAGCTTGAGGACTTCAGAACCTCTATCTGGACCCTTCCTCCCACCTTTCCATTTTCACCATTGGTCTGCACTTCAAGGTCCAGGAAAACCCTGGGGCTCCTTAGAGGGTCCCTTTTCAGAAGGCCCTGTTTTCAATCAACCCAGAGCAGCCTAATGAGGCTCCAGGCCTGAGAGGACTAGTTCCTGAAAGAGCTGACTTTTGTGCCTGGCTCCTTCCCTGGGCTGGGACTCCCCAGACGTCAGCACTGGCCTTGCCCAGAGAAGCCCCTGCAGGGGGCTTCTAAGGAAAAAGAAGACAGCACAAAGGCTTTGCATCTTAGGCAACTTATTTTATTGGACTGCTTTGCCAACATAACAATTTCTTACATTCAGGAGATTTCCCACAGACGCGTGCCTAGAAGGCATGAGACAGACAGGACTCGACCTAGAAATTCAAGCTTTCTTCAGTGTCTTTCTTGTCTTCCTCACCAAAAGTGAAGCCAAGACTTCTCTCATCAGAAACATCCCAGGGAGATCAGTCCTTAATTATGGATAGAGTGAACTCAGAGGTGGAATCCCGAACAACAGCCCATCACTTGGTAAGGGGAAGGCTGAGGAACACTAAGACAGATGGTTCCACTTATCCTGGGAACCAAAGACGGGTCACCGGTGTACAGTGGAACGCTAATGGAGACGACCAGGTCATTGTTGGTCAGGGGCTGGCTCCG